TTGATCTGTCATATATGTTATATTACAAATAAAATCTGTACGATCCTTATTATATATACATACACTGTATATATGCTATGTTTAAAGAACAAATCCTCACCTGAGCTGTTTGCAGGTTTGTTTGTTGCTTTCGGGTCAGCTGAAACAAAATAAATGACAGTTTGTTCATTAATAAGCAGTACAGTCAGTTTGTGCTTTAAGTTTATTTAGTTTGTTATTCAAACAGGAAACAAAGTTTATTTAAGCTAGAAAAGCTATTTGCATGATTTTGCATTGCATTTTGTTTGTTTTGTTTATTTGGCATTTAAATCCTTTAAATAGTTTTCATTTTTCTCTTTTGGTTTCTCTCCACAGTTTTGGTTTTTGATTCCAGCTGACTATACACTTAGTTTAATGTACAGTGATTTTTATTATGTCGCTACATTTCCTGCTATTTTATACATTTTGTTTTGCTTTTCTTTAAAATAATGCTCTTTGACAAGAAGGTTGATTAATGGATATATGAAATGCTGCAGGATGAATAAAGTCATACAGTATAGCTACATCAGGAACTCCAGCTGGAGTTAGCTTGAGCGGGAGCTGACTGAACACGAGAGGTATGTTGTAGTCCTAAATTACTTCCATGTGCTGACATGCATGTGTTGTTTTCTTTGGAGATGAAACTAGCTTCACAAGTTTAAACTCTCAAAAATGAGCGTTCTCAGCTCAGATGATTGGTAACATGACCGTTCTGGCTTTCTGCAGTGTTTCTGAAAGGGTTTGATTAGTTTTAATACCCATTCTGTAATTCTGTATTACCACTTGTTAAAGGTTTAACTAGAGAGGAACAGTAGATTCTTACGTATACAACTGAGGTCTGGGGATGAGGCCCACTGTCCACTCTGGCACTTGAGGAGATTTGAGGTTCCAGCTTTCCTGACATAACCCTGAACACAAACGTAGCGAAATTTATTGGCCGTCCCGTTGCAGGTCTCTTCTGGGGGGTTAGTTAAAGCCATTTTTGGAATTTCTGAACACGAACAACTCCCTGAAATAAAAGTAAAAATGTGACAAAATTACAGAAATGAAAAAGAAAATGAACGTCTGCCTGTTTTACATATCAAGACACAATAAAATGATCAATATGTATAAAACCACTCAACAGGTTCCACCAGGTCATCATTTATTAAGCAAAATTAAACCAAAATGAAAAAGATGTGTGAAAAAAAAAACAAGTCCACCCTCTATAAAGCAGGAACATACATACAAGACAACAGCAATGATCTTAGAGAAGAAAATATTGCTGCTCATCAATTTGGGAAAGGTCAAGGTCATTTCCTTTGGAATAAAATAGAAGTTGAAAACACTCTTGACAGATGCCATTTTTTTCAAGGAGTGGACATTGTAATACATTCACCCCAATGTCAGACTGTGCAAGGCTAAGAAATGCTAAGTTGGGGGGGGGGGGGGGCATTCAGGAGAAAGTCTCATTTCTATAAATAACATGACAGCACAACTTTAAAAAGTTGTAAGTTGCATCTGATTGAATCACAAGACAACTGGTCTTTTGGACAGATGAGGCCAACATAGACCTGTTTACCCATAATGCACAGTGCCATGTTTAAAGAAAACCAAACACCTTATTCCAAATGTTAAGCACAGCATTTAGGTGGAATAGTGATGATTTATGCTTATTTTGCTGCCATAAGGCCTGGACACCTAAAAGTCACTGAGTGGATCATGCAGTGGCAAAGTTTCTCTTAGGGTGACAATGGCAAATACACTGCCTGGCCAAAACAAAGTTGTCACCTGGATTTAACTAAGCAAATAGGTACGAGCCTCCTATAGGATAATTACTGCATAGGTGATTATCTTTCAGCTGCAACAAGTTATTTAACCCCAACTGGTGCGATGAGTTCCTTCTCATTTCTTAAACAACCATGCCAAAGACACATCACGTGGTCATGGAAAAGATGTAAGTCTGTTTGAGAAGGGTCAAATCATTGGCATCAAGCAGAGAAAACATCTAAGGAGACTGCAGAAACTAGTAAAATTGGGTTAAGAACTGCCCAACGCATTATTAAAAACTGGAAGTATAGTGGGGACCCAGCGTCTTCGAGGAAGAAATGTAGCCGGAAAAAAATCCTGAATGATCGTGATTGGCGATCACTTAAACGCTTGGTGAGATAAAATGGAAGAAAAACAACAGTAGCACTCAGGGCTGTGTTTAATAGTGAAAGTAAGAGCATTTCCACACACACAATGTGAAGGGAACTCTAGGGACTGAACAGCTGTGTAGCCTTAAGAAAACCACTAATCAGTGAGGCTAACTGGGAAAAAGGCTTCAATTTACTAGGGAGCATCAAGATTGGACTCTGGAGCAATGGAAGAAGTCATGTGGTTTTATGAGTCCAGATTGACCCGTTCCAGAGTGATGGGTGCATCACGGTAAGAAGAGAGGCAGGTGAAGTGATACACCCATCATGACTAGTGCCTAGTCATCAATGCAAGATCTTGGTAAAAAATTAATGCAACACTGGATGGAAATAGATCTTGTGACATTGTAGAAGTTTATCAAAACAATGCCACAGTGAATGCATGCCATTATCAAACCTAAAGGCGGTCCAACAAAATATTAGTGTGTGACCTTTTTTTTTTTTTGGTGGCAACTTTTTTTTTGCCAGGCAGTGTATTTGAAATCAAGTTCCAGCAGAGGGTAGTTTGAATACGGTACTACTTTTCCTGTCATTTGTTGCTCAGACGTAGAGTCATACACTCTAACATATTCTTTTTCAAAATCCACAAAGACATAATGGAGTTATTTTTTGACCCTGTCTGTACTTCTCCATCAGCATCCTCAAAGCAAATATGGCATCTGTGGGGCTCTTTTTTGGCATGAAATCATACTGCTGCTCACCAATAGTCACCTCTTGTGTAAGTCTTGCTTCCACAATTCTCTCCCAGATCTTCATCATGTGACTCATCAACTTAATTCCCCTGTAGTTGCTACAACTGTGTACTGTACATGACCCTTCTTCTTAAAAATGGGCACCAGCACACTTCTTCTCCATTCCTCAGGCATTTTCTCAGCCACAAATATGCCATTGACTATTTGAGTCAAATACCTCACTGCCATCTCTCCAAGACATTTCCAAACCTCCACTGGTATGTCATCAGGACTTACAGCCTTCCTCTTCTTCATTCTTTTCAGAGCTTTCTGGACTTCACCCTCACTAATCTTCCCCACTTCCTGGTCCACAGTTTCTATGACCTCTACTCTTCTTTCCCTTTCATTCTCTCCATACGTTAGCTCCTCAAAATACTCCTTCCACCATCCCATATGCCCCTTGCCAATGGTGGGTACGGTTCAGCTAATCCACTAATAGCAGAACTAACTTTCCATTTAGCAGATTAGCATTTTCACAAACTTTGAAAACCTTTAGCGGAATTAGCTACTGGTAAAATTAAATCTGGTAAATTCAAGTCCGGCAGCACGGTGACACAAATGGTAAAGCTGCTGCCTCTCAGAGAGCAGGTCCCCGGTTCAAATCCCAGTCTGGGAGTCTTTCTGGGTGGAGTTTTCATTTTCTCTCCATGCATGCGTGGGTTTTCTCCGGGTACTCCCAATTTCATCCCACAGACCAAAAACATGCATGTTAGACCAACTGTTAACTCTAAATTGTCCCTAAGTGAGAGAGTGAACGCTTGCTTGTCTCGTTTGTCTCTATGTGGCCCTGTGATGGACTTGCGACCTGTCCAGGGTGTACCTCACCCCTCACACAGTGATTGCTGGATATGGGCACCGGCAATCCCTGTGACCCCAAATGGAAGAAGCGAGTAAAAGATAATGGATGGATGGAAATTCAAGTCCACTATTTTTTTAAAAGACCGTTCTCCGCAATAAAAGTGTACAGGAGAATGGTGACTTACATGGAGCGATGCTTTGCTATTGAGCAAAGCCAAGTGCCATGCGGTGATGTCACTGTCAGGGGAATTTAGGTACAGGTCATGGATGTTATCACTTACCACATGTGTGAAGTCAAAAGAGTTTTTTTGTCTACTCAGAGAGGAGCCTGCATAACTGATAACTGATTCTGACGCTTTCAAATCTGTAAGCTGGAAAGAAGAAGTTGCCTTCACCTCTCTCTCTGTCTGGTTATCATTATAAATAGACGCTTCTTTATACTATCTGTGGGCAGATCTTACGACGGGAGCTTCCATCTGTGTAAGCCTGTAAACCCCCTGCAAGGAGTAAACTGGGTTTAAAAAAATTCTTGTTTCTTCAGTGTGGCTTATTTAATTAATGAGATGATGAAAGGGTAATTAATTTATCCAACAGACACCACCCTTGCAGCACTTTCCCCAAACAGTCTCTGAGTCATGGTGTCAGTTTACATTTATAACAGAGACTTTAACATAAATGTCAAACCAAACCAGAACAGGAAAATAACATGAAAACCCATTTTCACACTCAGAAACATTGTAAACAGTCAGAAACATTGCACACATAATGCCTACCCAGCATGCATTTCAACACTCACAGTGTCTCTGGGAAGTGACTCTCTCACACATTTCTTCAAACATCTGTACTTTAATACAAACAGATTTATTACTAAGAGAATATTAATGATGATAATGCACAGCAACTTTGTAGTTAGTTTATAAAAGTAGTTAACCACAAAGAGGATCGCCAAAGTGAGTTAATTCAAAATAGTATATGACACAAGGGAGATGTCCAACACAAACTGAATGCATCACTTGGCTTCAGCACAGCAGAATTATGCTCTGCCTCTTTGGTTCCGATAGACTGGATTAATTTCTGAAAGCACAACTCTGAATGGGACATGGACGCTTTACTTGTGATTTATGAACCGTTTTGAGTTGTCACATTAACAATCCTATCTTTAATAAGCCTATTCTGCTGCACATCCTTTTCAGCCTGATCCCTATGTCTTGGCAATCAATACTATTGCTGAATACAGTTGTGACTGACGGGAACTACCACATGCTCGTCTGTACAGAGATAATTGCAAATAAATCTTCCATTTTAGTCATAATTACAATGTATGCTTAATGGTTAAATTAAAGGTTCATGCTGAAAGCTACCGTATTTTTCGTCCTATAAGTCACAGTTTTTTGCATAAATTGCATGCCCTGCTACTTATACACCGAGGTGACTAATTTATGTTTTTTTCCCATATTTATAAACCAATTTTTAGCTGAGATATGATCGTTTTCATTCATTCTGACATTGAAAATATTGAACACTACCATTTTCAGCCGCTAGATGGGACTCGTGTACAATGGCATGCTGTTGTGTCATGTAATAGGTAAATGTGGCTATTAATGACACAATCAGCTTGCCATGGTTAGAGCCAGCTCTGGGATCATGCCTGGGGCAACCATCAAATCATCTTCATTTCGCTGCACCGCCCCGGCGAAATGCAGCTGATTTGACCATTGAAGTGCATTTATTAAGTAAAAGTTCAACTGAGACACATATTTACTATAAAGTTGAGCAAACAAATATTTGTTTTATGTGCTTATCTTGTTAAAGTTCGAAGAAATGCACAGCAAGGCGTCCCTCTGCGTGCTCCTGCTGCCAAGTATCGGCTTTTGAAATGCAGCTGATTTGATTGTCAAAGTGCATTTATTAAGGAAAAGTTAGACTGAGACACACCTTTACTATAATATTGAGCAAACAAATAATTGTTTTTAAGCGTTAATCTTGTTAAATTCTTGTTAAAAGTCCTCCCGTGGCCGCCATTTAGCAGTCAATCGATTTTTGGCACACCAGCCCATGTTTCTGGGTTGTCAGCGGTGACGCGTAATGATGCGACGTTTATGGCGGCAAGTACGGTAGTTGTGCTGTGTTATGTATGTAGATATATGTTGCAGCTTCTGGTTGCATAAATTTAGTCTTTATTTGCGATGATCTTTTAGTGTGTTTGCTAGGTCATCCATCCATCCATTCATCCATCCATCCATCCATTATCTTTACCCGCTTCTTCTTTTTTGGATCACAAAGGTCCCTGGTGCCCATGTCCAGCTATCACTGTGTGAGAGGTGGGGGACACTCTGGACAGGTCTCCAGTCCATCACAGGGCCACATAGAGACAAACAAGACAGACAACCATTCACTCTCTCACTCACACCTAGGGACAATTTAGAGTTACCAATCAGCCTAACATGCATGTTTATGGTCTGTGGGAGGAAGCTGGAGTACCTGGAGAAAACCCACACATGCACGGACAGAACATGCAAATTCCACCCAGAAAGGCCCACAGCTAGGGTTTGAACTTGTGACCTTCTCACTGAGAGGCAACACTCTACCAACTGAGCCACTGCTCTGCCTTTATTTAGAAAATTTTAAATGTACACATACTGAACATACTGAACATACTGAATGTCACTGTGAATTCTTGCTCTGTGTTGCTCTGCAGCGTGAAAACATCCATCGTACTGCAGTAACTATTTTAAGTTATTAGTAGCTTTGATTGTTTTAATTATTTCCCCTTTTCTTCTTTGCCTTAACGTTTGGCTGATAAGGCAAAAATGCCTTCCTACCTGTCTCTCTAATTACCGTTGCTGTAGTAGTCCAGTCATTTGGGCGCTCTTTCTTACCACCCAGAGCCTTTAACAGCTCCTCTCTGGATTTCTCACAACATTCTTCCTTCTTCAGCTTCCACCATTTGGTCTTCTTCTCTGATTTTACTCTTTTTCTCATTTTCAAAACAACAGTCATTCTACACAAAACCATCCAATGCTGTCTGGCCACGCTCTCCCCTGCCACAACCTTACAGTCCCCAATCTCCCTCAGGTTTCTTCTTCTACACAGATTGTAGTCAACCTGTGTACTCCTTCCTCTACTTTTATAGGTCACTCTATGTTCCTCCCTCTTTTGGAAATAGGTGTTGACTGCAGTCATTTCCATTCTCTTGGCAAAATCCACCACCATATGTCCTTCCTGGTTTCTTTCCTTGACACCAAACCTACCCATCACTTCCTCATCCCCTCTGTTTCCTTCATCAACATCAGTGTTTCCCCTAGTTAACTTGCCATGGCGGGGTGCTCATCTCATCCATGATTTTTGTTGATGGGGAGGGATGGAGACATGTCTGAGCACAGCTTGTGTAGTGAACTAGGCCTCCGACCTCAACCTGTCTCTGAAGACCTTCAGGGGACAGGAACTGTTATTTCATTGATTTGAATCCAGAAATACAAATTAGCTCATTGTTAGACTATTTAATTGTATCCTGAATTAATCAATTGAAAGAACACTCTTCTTTTTTACATTATCATTACTATTTTAGAATATCTTGATAATGAAAGTGTGTTTAGTTCATACCATTTCTAAATGTTGAAGTGAACCACTCATTTTAAATCAACTGTGAAACAGTATTAATGATTTTTAAACCTCATTAGACTTAGAAATCCTTTTAAATGTCTATTTACAAAGTAATTGTGCATTTTGATCTTCCATCTGAATGAGGAGTAGTGATGTCGGTCGAAAGTCAGAGACAGTCAGAAAGCAAGTTATTAGAACGAAGTATCTTGTTTTTAAACCTAGCAGACAATAAACAAGAAGCTAGCACCTGCAAAGTTTCTCACTTCTTCAAAACATTTCTCTGTCTGTACTAATCGTTCCTAAACATTCCTGCATCCCCTCTTGACTTTTAATAACCCTCTGACATCACTGAAACACCCTCCTGCTGGTTGTTTCAACCAATCAGGAAGTACCAAGTGACCGGAAGTGAGGACTCTTTTAAAAGTCAACACTTCCTGGAACTATTCAGTCTTCCTAGAGTCTTCCTAGAGTCTTCTTCAGTCTCCTGGCGGTCTTCCTGCAGTTTCCTGAGTTTTTCTTGGGACTATGGAGTCTTCCACTTCTGAGTGGAATCTCTAACTGACGTTTTACTGAGAGTTCCTAAGGAACTTTCAGATTTAATCAATAGCTGATGGATTTGACCGTGAGACGAGGGTCCGTCCATCCCAGCTGGAGTCACAGCGCCTCGCTGTGAACTCACCCGGGCGTAACGCCCTACAACTTCGAAGGAAGCTTGTTCTGTTGGACGGAGTAAACCACATGACTTCTGACGATGACCAGCCACCCTGACCGGAGACGCTGAAAGGTAGCGTGCGAAGGGACCTCTATACTGGAGCTGTCCATCCACTGCAAAGGTAAAGAGACATCACAAGTTGTTACGCACTAAGTGGACCGGGGGTTTGAGCTGGTGTTGAAAGAAGCGTGCTAATTCTGGTCAACAAACATACATCTTTCCTTCATCCCTCTTCCTTTTAAACTTCTCTATTCTTTCCCTTAAACTTCTATTTTGCCAGTAATCTAGATGCCTTCAGAAATGTTCTGTTGTCTTGTTAGTAAAGCGTGCCAAGTTTTATTAATCAGAAACAGATCAGCAAATCAATGTGTACATGTCTTGATGTTAAATTTTGATTCTGTTAAATAAATGACCGCATTTATTCTGATGGGTCAAAGAAAAATGGCGTCTCATGTCACTGATTAGACAATCCTCACAGTTATCTCGGTCACGTGGCATTAATTTAACACGAAAAAGAAAGAATCCATTGTATTTAAATAATTAATATTATTGTGCTTGAACTAGCTTTAAGAATAATTAATTAGTAGTGAAGCTACAGGAAAGCTGTCCCCACATTCACTACACTTGCGGGGGGGGGGGGGGGGGGGGGG